GGGGGGGGGGGGGGGGGGGGGGGGGGGGGGGGGGGGGGGGGGGGGGGGGGGGGGGGGGGGGGGGGGGGGGGGGGGGGGGGGGGGGGGGGGGGGCTAGAAAAGAGAGTGTATATAGGTAACCAATCGTTCCATTGATCTGTTGCCTCGATGACCTATGCCATATGCGTTTCGTTGGGGACGAGCTTCATCACCCCCTCCTCACTCAGTCCTTCCTCTGCATTTTTTTTCACTTTTTTTTATCGCTCGAATCCACCACCAAACTATCGATGCACGTATATGCTAGAGTGAGTGCTTGTGTCCTCGCGACGATTGTGTGGATGATGTACTTACGTGGCACTGGGAACAATGATTCAAATTGTTGGACAAGTTGTTTTTGATTCTTTTGGCTTTATCGATTTTTCATTTGTTGAGTTGTTTACGGTTTTTAGAGGATTAGTTATTTATGGGACGGTTTTGGGGGGAGATCTTTGGAAAGGGGATTTTTTATCTTTTAAACATTATTTGGGATTTGTTGATAGTTTTGCATTTCTTATTCATTTGATGCCGTTTAGCGAAGAGAAGCCGTGGAGGCAGTGTCACTTTCTCCACTCATTCTCTTCCCATTTTCTCGCTGGTTTCTTTTTTTCAATTGTCATTAATTCGAGATCTGTGGGGTAAAATTTACCCCAGACTCTGCTATTTTTTTTCAATCCAATTGGTTTTTGAAAATGTGGAATTATTATAAATTTGCATTAAATAATTTACATTTATTCACCGCTTTAGTTTGCACATTTTAAAATGTGGGGGTAAAATGAATCATTTTCAATCTATCCCTTTGCACTTCAAAATGCACTCCAATTCATTCCATTCGCGTCGTTCATTGACGGTTTGGAATGGCTCGTTTTGCCCTTGGTTTTTCGAAATATTCAATTGATTTTGGAATTGCGCAATTTTTTTCAATTCTCGGAAATTGTGCCGGTTCTCCCATCGGATGTAGTATTATTTGGCGTATATTATAACTAGGGCGGCTGCGGACAAATCGATACGTGCTACTTTCATTCATGGCTGCCTCCTTCACGCGCGCCCGGCACGTTGCCTATCTCGCCACTTCCTCCCCCGCGCTCCATAATCAACACATCGACCCCAAAATTGCATCAGATATTGTTGCAGGTGATTTCCATCGCTCCATCACCAATTTTCTCAATCTCTTGATTCTCCTTCTCAAGTGAATATCGATGGAAAATTATTGAGTGGTGGAACACGTGAGTCTCGGAATTAATGCCCTACGTTATTTATCACTTTTTCAACTTTCCAGCGGAGGGCTGGGGGAGCTTCGATACTATTTTTCAAAGTTCACTGGGTGTCTGACTACGTAGGTACGTTACTACTGGCACAGTTGTGCTCCATTGTACGCCAATGCTCATCTGTTATCACTTTCAAACTCTGGGGAAGTTTCATCATGAAAGGACCTTCGCCTTTACCATCGCTCCAATTGCCGAAGTTTTCCACATTTCGTTTTCAATGCGGTAGTGGAGAGGGGGGGGGAGGGGGCAGTGGGATGAATCATGCTGTTGGAAATTTTTCGAATTTTGATTCATAGGTACGTACTTCCGGAGAAATCTCGCTTTTGAATGAAATTAAACTTTTCATTTGAAACTATTCTATTCATTTCGATAACTCACAGTTTTCTTTTCAATGAGAAGGATCAATTGTCTCTAATGAGTAGGAGAGGGTGGAGTAAAATGGACACTTTTGACTTTTTTTGAAATGGTCATGACGTGTTGAATTGTTCATGAAATGGAATAATTTTATTTTTCAATAAAAAGATGAATGATTCCTCTTTGTGATGAGCTTAGACTGAGCCCAATTGATAAATTTGTTTCTGAGTTATAAATCATTTAAAAAAAGTCTAACGTGTCCATTTTACCCCACCCTCCCCTAATTTATTTTTTTAAGGATATCCGAGTAGTTTGGATATTTTTGCCTCCGAAGAGAAGCCTTGTATTTCACCGGTTTTTCGATTTTCTACTTTTCATTGCAAATAGACTAGAATGTTACACTGAGGAAAAAAATTATTTTTGCCGAATACCTATTTATTTGAGAGAAGTATTTATTTTTTCAATACTGTATTTCTCCATTCGAGTCATTCTCAGGCAATCCTCATTAGATTTCAATTATGTTAATTATATTGCTCTAGATTATGATCATGTTAGTTATGACTGAGTCCTTCAATAATTATCATCATTAGAAAATTGATCAAAATTCTTCTCTCTAGAAAATAAGAAATTTAGGAAGAATGAATAATTATTGGAGGAGTTCATCCAAGGTCATGTACAACATAGTCATCTACTAGAGCAACATGATTATTGTAATTGAAACCTAGTCAGGCTCACCTGGGAATGACTCGATTGGAGGAATACGATTTTTAAAAAACAAATGCTTCTCCCATGTAAATGAATATTTGGCAAAAATAATTTTCTTTCTCAGTGTATGAACCGCAACACGGACGATTAAATTTAACAGAAAAACCTATCGAATTCGTTAGAAAATTCTATTGAATTTCTATTGAACTGTTCTATTGGTTTTTGGCCGATTCTATTGAAATGTTCAATAAAAAATATTCAGTAGAAGAAGTCAATAGAATTCAATTTTTTTATATAACTTATTCTATTGAGACATTTTCTATAGAATTTCCTCGGTTCAAATTTTCTGAGTTTTTTCGTTCGATTTTATTGATGAGAAGAAAAGAAAAATAGAATGAAAAAAACTTAGAAAATTTGGGTCGAGCTAATTCTATAGAAAATATATGCTGTTCTATTGTTATATAGAAAAATCGAATTCTGTTGACTTTTTCTATTAAATGTTTTCTATTGAAAACTAATAGAAAAACTAATAGAAAGTTTAATAGAAATTCAATAGAATTTTCTAACGAATTCCATAGGTTCTGCTGTTAAATTTTTTTGCGCGTGAAAGAAATGATATGTCTGTATGTCTGTATATCGGTATGTATGTATGTGACATCTTGGGTTTTCGGTGATTAATTTTTAAAATATTCAATATAACTACGGAGAAATTTGTAGATAAAAATCTGAAATTTTGGCTCATTGTAGCTATGATTGAGTTCAACTTTAACACCCTGTTTCAGCCAGGGATGGCCATTAATATTATATTTCTTCAATATCAAAAGGATTTGCGACTTACATTGACAAATGTTTAAATACTCATCAAAATTTGAAAATAATATAATATTAATAGTTCAATTTGTCCCATTGACGATGAATTAAATATTTTATAATACAGAACTGTAAATTTTCCATTAAGTGAATATTTCTAATTTCTTAAAAGGGGTTATCGATTAACCAAATAATCGGCAATCTTCCTCCCTAAATTATTGATTAATAAAATAGTTCAACTTTGAATATTTAAATTGATGATTAGTTGAATAATTAAAAGTTTAAGAGTGATGGACTAATGAATAAATAATTGAACTAATGGACGGCTTCCAAATTTAAGGGTAATTATGATTTATGAACATGGATATTCCTGGGTTCAGCCCGACCGGTCTAGTAGTTCCGCAGATATAACAACTGTTTCTCCAGTGAAATGGATTTCTACTTTTGTAGTCGTACGTCAAAGTTTTCATTTGAGCCTTAGTTGCCCCTAAACTTCCGGATATTTTATAATGATTTTATTATTTAAACTTTGCGGATCTGAATTTGAATCTCGATATTGAACCGTTAGAAAACATTTTAAAAATCTGAAAAAAAATTAGCAAATTTACGTTTAGAGGAAGATTGATAAAATAATGTTAAAGTTTCAACTTTTGCAAATTACGAGCATTTCATACAAATAATTTATAAACAGTCAATTCTCCATGATAAAAATAATTTGTTCGGGATCGTAAGAAATGTACTCATACTAAGAATTTTACCAGAAATCGATTTCATGCCTAAAAAATACGGTTTGCGAAAGTATAAACGATTTCAATTGTTTATTTATAAACAACGAATGTTTAAAAAAATAATAATTCTGTGCAAAATGTAATTTGAATGATTTCTCTGTGTAATTGAACTGAAACTTCCAGTGTCCATTGATTTTTTCATCAAACTGTGAATTTTCAATGACGAAATTCCTTTGAATTTGATTGGAAGTGTCACACAATAAAAATCTCCACGAATTTTACCGGAAATTTCTACAAAAAAAATCTCAACAGTGTAAATCCTCTAGCAGAATCACAAGAATTATTACATGTTGATAAATTCGTTCTCTTCACCGCCTGAATGATTATTTCATTTAAATTTAATGAAGTCTCTATTTGCATCAAAGGAACATTTGCTTATATTTAAAAAAATACTCATTTGGTGTAAATGACACCGCAAATAAAAGTCAAAGTCAAATCAAAACTCTTCTAATAAACCCAATTATTTGTTTCAAATCAAGTTTATTCCATTTAAATAAACCAATTCCCTGAGTATAGTTTCAGATTT